CCCCCCCAATTTTTTTATTAGGGTTTTCTATTCGCGGCATTAGTCCCGCATCTGTTCCATCAACCAGGCTTTCTGTAAGTCTTGCTCAAGAACGGATTTTGAGCGCTTCTTCCTCCAAGAGAAAAACTGTTGAAGCTCGTAGGTCTGATGATGAAGAGGATGCAGAAGAATATTCTTTGGTGAGAAAATCGCATGTCAGAAGACACGTAGTTTCAGATGATGAAAACCATGTCTCTCATGATCCCCCATCAAGTTCGATTCCTTTCAGACTCATTGATGAGCCCGAGAATGCTCCTTTAGAAATTTATGATGAAGATGCTGGTAACTCAGCCACCCCTCCCCCCAAAGTCATGTTGAAAGGTTATTCGCCTATTGCTTTGAGGGTGAAGAAGGCCTCGGGCCTATTTCTAAAAAACTGCCACTTGTTTCCTTTTCAGTTTTACCTATTGTTAACCCCTTGTGTCTTTACTTGGTGTTACCCCGATGGTTTCTCCCCATGCTGCTCCTCGTGTAGAAGCTGAGCCTTCTATCAGTAGGTGGGAAATGAAAAAAATTGTAATTAAAGTCATTGCTAGGAACCGTGGAGAAGAAGAAGTTGGAGGGTCACAATTCCATGGCCTTAATGAATGACATTGTTCATTCTTCTCTTAAGGTATAAATTTACTTATATTTCCTTCCTTCTTTTTCCTTATTCATAACTCTTCTTCTTTTACCTTTCTTTTAGATTAATTTGACAGGTACTGAGCTTATGAAAAGGATCTCTTGGACTGACCAACAACTAATTGAATTGTGCACTGAGGCTGATAACTGGAGAGAACAATTTGAAGGTCTTCAGTTGGAGAAGGGCGTTCTTGCAGAGGAAAAGAGGGCTTTGGAACAACAAATGAAAATGGTATCCGCTGAGTTAGAGGTTCTAAAATCTTCTTCTAGTCAAGTTGAGAAGGATAAGGATAGATTGGAATCCTCTTTTGCTGAACAACTTTCCAAGGCTACTGAAGAGATAAGGAGTTTGAAAGAGCTCCTTAATCAAAAAGAGGTTTACGTGGGTGAACTGGTTCAATCGCTAACCCAAGCTCAAGAAGATCTTCGCGCCTCTTCAGGTAAAATTCAGTTCCTGGAAAGTTCTCTTGCTTATTTGAAGAAAGCTTATGAAGCCTCGGAAGCAAAAAAAGAGGAGTTGAAAGCTGAAATTGAACAATGAGAGAAGGATTATGAAGCCCTCGAAGATAAGTCATCACTGGATGTTAGTTGGGCTTTTTGAACACTCGCCTCGAGACTTTAACGGAAGCCAGCTATGAAGGGTTTGACCTTAACGTTGAGATTGCTAAGGTCAAAGAAACAATTGAACAAACTCAGCAACGTCAAAGCTTTTCCACACCCGAAGACGAAGGTTCTAAGGGTGATGGAGATGGACTTGCTCCAGGTGAAGCTGATGTTCAACCCTCTTCTCCCCAAGTCGATCCTTCTTCTCCCGTTGATGATGCTCCTTAGCTTTTTCCATTTCTAGACTTTATCTGTTGAAAATGTTCGTTTGTTGGTTTTTGTTTGGAACTCCCTTGTGTTTGTTGGACAACTTTTGAAAGGTTTTTCCGCCCCTTTCTTTTTTGGGGTTATGATGTAAATAGCGCCTCTGTTTGTTGAGGTTATAACTATCTTTAATGCTTTTGTCGCATATTATACTTTCTGCCCTTTTAATATTTGAGCTTAAACTTGCACTTAAATGTTTTAACAGACCGTGACTTCGACTTACACGGGTATTTATAAAAGAGGGTCCTTTTTATATTAATAACACTAATGGAGATGACGTCTCATCTTCATATTGGTGCAAATATAAACGTAAAGTAGATATGAAAAGAGAAATATATTGAGGAAGTTTTATTTTTGAACTCTCAAATTAATAAATTTTGTACATCATTTTCATAATTGTTCATACAACACTTTCATAACTACTTTCATTGTAGCAGATTTACAAATTCGGGTCTGTTTTCCCGCGACTAAATTTATGGCCTTAACCTCGAAGCTGGTAGGAATATCTTGCATCCTTTTTGCGAGTTCGAACTCCTATGAAATCTTTTCAAGGATTTCTTCAAGGTTTTGATTCAGGCTGAACTATGCCCTTGGTATACATTTTTCTTCCTTATGTAACCTTCTATATGCATAGTCCCTCCAGTGTTGGAGCTTTGAAGTATGAAATCTTGAAAACTGGATCAACTCCTTTCTTTCGGTCATTTCCCTGAAAAGGAAAATACAAACAGGACTCGGAGATAATTTCTTAGATGATGACTGCATAACCTTTTTCCCATAAAAAAGTTGTAACCTAGACCAGGAATAATTCAGTATTCTGAGTGTCTTTCGGCTCTAATATCATCATTTGGTACGGGCTAGCTTTTTGTCTATCATCTAAAATGGTTAGAAAACCTCACTGTCTCCCGAAGCAGCCTAGTCACACAATGCAGTTGGAGCTAGAGACGAGGATGGCACCGTGAATGCTTAGCCAGAATAGACCAAGAACAAAATAAAATCGAACTTGTGTGATACCTGACCGTGGGTATCATCATCATTCAGAAGTAATACTTCTTCAAATGGACTACATTCCAGTTTTACAGTAATACATTGCCATCCATGGTTTCTAACTCGTATGCTCATTTTTCAGCGATGCCTCGAACCCTATTTGGGC